AGAGGTTGGACAGAAGAAAAAACCTCACCTCAGAATCAGGAGTACAGGGAGACAGAAGAGCACCAAGAGTGACAGAAACTTGACTCATGTCACTGTAATCTAAAATAGTGGTATAGATGGCATGATATGTCTATATGAGAGAGTTCCACACCCAGAATAGCCAAACAATATCTACTCAGGCTCCCTGGATTCTACAGCACTGTATGCCTCCCCCATGGCCCTCCACAGGTAATTCCCTACAGGTCAGGAACACAGTATGAAATATGGAAAATTTCCTCATTCATTACATGCCCTTGATTTTGTCATGGTCCAGATTTCTGACTGGAAGCAGGGAAAAGAAAAATCAATTTATAGTAGCATGGCCTGGACTAACAGCACCCAGACTCTGCTATGTGTCAGTGCACCAGTTACCAAATATCCCCAATTCCCACGTGCTGTTGAAGGGGTGACATCTGAGACTGTACATGTGCTGTCACAGGTAAAGAAGTCTGAAAATCATATTATGTTTCTACTTTCAAATGAAGAAACAGACCGCTATTTCACAAGCCAGAGGATGGCACTGAGCAAAGAGAGCGCCAGCCTAAGGTTGCTTCCCCTCAAACCACGACTTATTGAGCTCCAGAAAGGAAAAAGCGGTTATGGATTTTATCTACGGATGGAACAAAATACTGGTGGTAAGATCCAAGTTAACACACAGGCCGTGACATTTGCTGTACCATTTCTTCTTTTATGATGCTTGCAGCCCTCATTCTCTTTGGCTTCTTGCTGGCCATCTAGAAATCCTCAGGGAAAACAGCTTCAACCTGAAGAGCAATTCTGACCATTTATGTTTGCCATGCTTTTTAATGTCTTTAAAACTCACCAAGCTCTACCTTCACAGCAATCTTTCTCCCCTTCTCATCTCAGACCACGTAATCAAAGATGTTAATTCTGGAAGCCCAGCAGCCATGGCAGGTCTAAAGGACAATGACATCTTAGTGGCTGTCAACGGCGAGCGAGTGGATGGGCTGGATCACGAAAGCGTAGTGGGAAAAATCAAGCAGTCTGAGGAAAGAACCTCTCTGTTGGTGGTGGATAAGGAAACTGACAGCATGTACAAACTGGTAAGAAAATGCAAACTGCTGCTAGGAATTGATAATTTATCACAATGGAACAGCCAATCTGCTCTGACACTTCTTCAACTCGCAGGAAATGCCAAGAGATACCTGTATTCCAGCAACTCCCCTTACACTGGTACAGGAAGTCACTTAACACCCAAATCTTTGGCCTCTTCCTGATTTTTATAGACACTATTGGAACAACTCTAAATTCAAACACATCACAAAAAAGGTTAAGTTTTGCTGTTAAGATAAATTCAGAGCTACATGACTGTGTAACTATTTATAATAACAAATTTCTCTTCTCACATAGATCAACACTGTAGTCTTCCACTCAGAACAGGGAAGAATTCTTCACTGCAGCTAAAGTCCGAGTCATTAACAAAGTTTCAAACAAAATATGTTGAGCATGAGAGCCTGAAACAGATTTCACAACAGAAATTATTTTAATGTAATTTTGTCACTTTTTTCAGGCTCAAATTTCCCCTTTCTCATACTACTACAAAGCACAGGATTCAACCCCAGCTAAAACGGAGGAAAGAGTGGAGTTGCACACTGAGCAGAAAGTGAACCACAAGCCAAGGATCTGCAAGATGGTGAAAGGACCTAATGGATTTGGCTTCAGTTTAAACATGATCAAGAGCAAACCTGGATTGTTCATCACTGAGGTACTAATGAAGAACGAGGAGCAAGATCAAGTAGTCTGTTGGGCAGCTTCCTCCCCTCCATCCTGCAAACAAATGCACAAGTCTCTTTTCCAATGTTCTCAGATCAGAGCTAGAATTGTTTAAGTCAGACTAACACTGTAGGCCCAAAATAAAAAATGAGCACCAGAAAACATGAGGGAAGGAGAATTCAGCTTTTGCATAATTTTGGCTGTTATTCATGAGTCTAGAATACTAAAATGAGTATTTTAGACAGAATTGGTTTTTACTGTAGAACAGCTTAATTATAGAAGAGATGCCTTAGCCCTAATTCTAATTCACCTTCTCTGAATTCCACAGCTGGTAAAAGCCAAACTGCTTCTGTTCCAAATTACATCTGTAACTTCAGCTTTCTTGAGACGAGGGGCTCCACTCATTACTAAAGGATCTGTGAATTGTACTAAACTTTGAAGTTATTGGACAGAGACCTCCAAATAGTTAGAAAAGTTTTTCTACCTGTCTTCATGGTTCTTCCATGCCACATTCCTATAATGTAAACCGATCAAGATCAACATTTTAAAATCTCAAACTGATGGGCTCCATGTTTATTACGTCTGGGCTCATTGCCCATCCCAATTCCTTCCTGCCCCACAAACCTCCCCTTCCCCATGCTTATTTCACCATCCTCTAGGGAAATCAGTAACACAGCTAACCCTCAGCTGTTCATGCATCTTTCCAAGCTTTCTGCCAAGACCCTGCTTTGAACTCCCCTCTGCAGGTACAAAGCCAGGGAGCAGCTGGCAGAGCAGGTGTGGAAAACAACGACTTCTTGGTGGAAGTGAACGGAGTGAACGTGACCAACGAATCCTATGACAAGGTGGTGGCAAGGATCCAAAGCACTGGGGACAGACTGACACTGCTGGTGTGCAGCAAAGATGCTTACAGGTACTTCCAAGGCCAAAACATTCCCATCACAGCCTCCATGGCAGAGTCAGACACTCCTGAGGCTCCTGCTCACACAGAAAACCATCCAGCAGAGCCAGAGAGGAACTCACCTGAGCCAAGGGAAAGGGTGAGTAATCCTGCATTAGGCAGATGCTGAGGGATCACACAGGGGATAGGAAAAACAATCTTTTTTTCAGGTAGTAAGTTTTCCAGATTGTTAACTTGAGCTGGGATTTTTGCAAGTTACTAAATGGAAAGCTGTTAATTATCACAACAACTCTTCTTTTCCCCACACGTAACACAGGTGAGTATCTTTAATGCAATATTAAATCACATAAAGAACACACATACAAGAGATTTTATGGAACAAGATAACCCAAATACAGTAATCCCAATGATAGGAAACAGGCAATACAATTGTGGAAGTGGAGGGAAAAGTGCTTACATAGAAACAGTGCTTAAACAGAAAACATAAACAACATTTGTGAAAACCACATGAAATATTTCAAAATCATCATTTGGAGAAGGAACAGCAAGTGATAGGTTATGACATTTTCTAGGCAATGTGCTGATTTGAAATTATTTTACTCACTTCATGCCACTAGGAAGAATCTGAAGCATGACTAAAGTCAGAAAAGCAAGAAGGTATTACTTTTTGAAACACTTTTAACCCTCTGTGGTCAGCCTTAAATATTAAAATGCTTATTTTCTCATCATGCAAGAGACAGACAAGGTAAGACCAACAGTGTTGCCCATTTATTTTTCATTAGCCTTTTCTGCAAGTTTTTTCAAGAATATCTTAGTACCCAAGCTGCATTTTGCAGCAGTTAGCACTACTTTTGTGTTCAAACTGTGCAGATATGGGAATTCAACAATAGAAACACTCTATTGAACAAAATTCTCTGAAAATGTACTTTAACAAAAAAACCCTTCAACAACAAAAATGGTATTTGTTGGTTCATTCTGCCATCTAAACAAGTGTGTGATTAGTGCAGATGAAAACAGGAGTCTGCAACAGTGCAGACTATCAAACATGTTTACAAACTGAAAGTAATCACAACATCTTTGTTACTCCTCTGCAGGCAGACTCATCCTCCTCCTCCCAATCAGCAGCCTCCACAAGAGCTGACAGTGACAACAGCGATGACACAAAGTTGTGACGAGACAAAACTATGCCAAGAACAACAAAAAAGAAACCTGCCAAATCTTTTCTTCAGTTCTTCTTTGCTATTCCACCTCTCAGAACTTGGCTGTTCCAAGGAGTACCAGAACCATAAAGGACTACAAACTCTTGCTGCAATAAACACTTCAGTGTAACTTGCATCCATTTAACACTCTGCAATTGTGCTCCACTGGCACAATTTCTGCCTTGTGAAGTGGGCACTCAGGCACTCACTTCTGAAAAGGTTTAAAGAACTGCAACTTTAGAATTAAGTGTCCTGCAGCAGAAGCTGGAAATGTTTTATAGATTCGTAAGCATCTTAGGCTGTTATGGATAAGCTCTTAATAAAGAGCAATTGATTTCTGCCCATCCCCCAGGAAGGACAGCTCTCCAAGTCCATCACCTCAACCTCTGTGGCATCTTTGCTTACAGCAGTACAGCTGCTCTGAAATGGCAGAAGCCCAGGTACTCTGTGCATTATCTTTTTTCCTGCTAACATTGCAGAAACTTCTTTCAAACATTAAGCTAACTTTGGAATTCACAACTCAAGGTGTTTAATCACTATTTTGTTTGCTCTGCATAAAGCTGTGGATTTGAACAGTGTATGTAATTCAGTCTAATCCCAAGTCACCACCATGTTGTCTTGAATGTGACATAAATGGTTCTGTAATACTGCTGCTGCACTTGCTTCCTTGCTGTACACCAAAGACAATACAGAAATAAATTGTTTAGAGTGGTTATTTCCCCCACTCCAAGTCTTACTCTTACTACCTATAATTTATGTTCCAGAACAATTATAAAACAAAGCCTCAGAAAGTGGCCATGAGAACCTAAAAGTTTAAGTCACAAGAATAAAATTCCTAACATACAATGTAAACAAGGCATGGCAGTGGTCTTCAACTTAACACTGAACTCTACCAAAGAGGAACCCAAAACCTCAGTTCCACTTATGCAGAGAGAAAAGAAAGTTGACACTCAGTAAGAGAAAGAAAATCTCCAGTTCCTAAGGATAGTAGATACTAGTGATACACACTACATACAGAAATGGAGTTCTTTCCACTCCACTCCTGCTGGACAGCAAATCCCAGCCACCTTCAGGCTCAAATCCAGCCCAGTCTTTGGGACTGACAAAAAACAACTGTGATACTCACATATTACAAAAGCTTATTTAATTCCACAGACTCAAACATTCAATTCCAGAATTGCTGTCCTCCAAATCCCAATTATAAGTTGATTTTCAAAACAAAAATCACATTTCTTTGTGCCTTCTGTGAAGATAATGTTCCAACAGTAGGAGGTGCTCCCTCAGCCAGCCTACCACACAAGCTCTGATGCCCTTGGATAGTGGTGTATCCAGGATTGCTTTTATGACTTTGCAATTAACTGTTTCGAGTTTAACACACACACCCCCATCCCTTCCAGCTGTGGCACTGAAGAAAATGAGCCACAGAGCTTGATGATGACACGTGTGGAGGTTCAAGGAGCCAGAACACAGAGCAGTCCTGTCTCTCCAAGTTTTGCAGTTACACTGCCAAACACACAGAGCAGTCCTGTCTCTCCAAGTTCTGCAATCCACAGGAGCTGCAGCAGTGCAGCTGACAGGACAGAGAGCAGTGCATGCCTGCAGTTCTGCCTCAGAGGGTCATATGCTTTTCTGGGGCTTGTTTGTGTGCTAAATAGAGAAAGAGGATACTGGACAGGGCACTAACTAGGAATATCACATCAAACCAACGGTGATAGAAGTTGAACTGGAGCTCTCCCAGGACCTCTGTGATAATGGTGCGGTATTCTGGAGGCATGCTCATGCGGATCAGGAGCACTGATGATACAAAGTACATTCCCTGCAAGTTAAAAAAGGGACAGCAGTTACTGCCTCACCTCAGGCTCTGTGGCTAGCAGGGGGCAGCACACAAAGATACTGTTATGTGTTTAAACACACACAAGGCATGCATGTAGAAATGCACGTGGGGATGCCCACGGTTCTCCATACTCACCATTATCTGTGCTAACAGCAGAACAATAACATTGGAGGACTTGCTGCTGGAAATGGCATAGAAGAACTAGGGAAAAAAAACCAAAAACATTGGAAATAAGCAGTTAGGTAAGTCTGATGTGTCTTAGGACAGTATGAAAGGCACATTTTTTCATCCCAAAATACCCCATCAAAACCATACACTCTAGAGGGCTACCTATAAACTACTCTCATAAACCTTCCATAAACTTTCATAAACCCTAGTCTGCATCAATCCTCCCCAGCCAGATGCACCTTGTGTTAAAAATCACAAAACAATACACAGAAGTCTAAGCATAGGTACCAAAGGCCAGGTCAAGTCAATGAGTCACATGTCTGTTGAGTTAATGCTTTCAGTCCTACCAGCAGCTTAAATTAAGTAATGCAAATGCTTTTAATCACATCTCATCAACCTTACTAATAAGCCTTGGCTACAGCATCATTTTGAACCCTTGTTTACATTTAACATCTAGATCCCTTCCTGACAGAGACTGGGGAAATATCCTGCAAAAGGTATTCTTCCTAACTTCATCCCTCTGCAAGAATTTATATTCAGACATTTAAACATACATATTGAAATTACATATTGAAAGTTTATACAGTACTTGTTCCATCAAAAGGTAAAGATCTGATAATTAATTTCTCTGTGTAAAACCACTTAACAGTCCTAGTTCTTACCTTTGTAAGTGTGATTAACAACCCTCTAATAGAGGTAACAATGATTATTCCAACAAGAATAAAGGAAATGTGCTGAGACCAGAATTTGACCTGTATCAACAAGAACACAGTTAAAACTTTAACAATAACTTCATTTACGCCACCTTGTATAGCTACCAATTCTTCAGGGTCTTTGTCTCTCCTAATTGTACAGCTATCTACTGTAGACAAGGTTTATATAACAGACATTTTCACAAATGTATTAGCAACTGTTTACTCCAAACACAAGAGAAGGAGATTTAGATTATACCAATTACAAAGAATCCCATTTTCATAGATTGTGTAAATGACAGAACAACTATTTGCATAAAAAAAAATAAAAATTACTTTGGGGCTGAATGTACTAATCTAAGCAGATTGTCTAAAGTGCTTCTATTTCTCCAAAACAAAAAAACCCAAATCACTGCCTCTTTGGCAAGACCACATCCCCATCTCAGCATAAAATCAATGTGAAAGCAACATGCATGGTGCATTTTCCTTTCCTCCTCAATAAGTCAAAAGGAAAGCCATATTCTCAGGGTCTATCACTTTCTCCCTAGCAGCAGGATGATTTTATTCAGATATGAATTGCTGAAAAGGCTGCAAGAATTAATAAAGACTCACATCAAACTGGATTCCCAGGTAATTTACAGTGATCTCAATTCCTCTTGTGACTGGATCAGTCTTCCCCACACGGTCAAATACAATATTGATGGTTGCCTGCAAGAGAGATGGATTTACATTCAAGCAAAAAGGAAAAACAATTCTCACTCTCACAGGTGAGGCTCATTGTACCACCAAGAAAAGGGCAGGGGGTGTTCAGATTGCCAAAGGCAGCACAAAACACATCCATGTAAGAATTACTGGTGTAATGCTGTATAGAAAAAGCCAGATCCAGAGCTTTATTTCAATCAAGGGCCAGTTTCTTTCAGAATTTCTGGATTTTAAACAAACTAGAGCATTACTTAATGAACTGCATGCGTAGCATAATGTATGCAGGGTATCTGCATACATCCACAAAAAATGAAATAAAACATTTACATACCATGAAGATTTTCCAGACACAATAGATGGAGAAAAAATAACCCAAAAAGTTAAAGTATTTTCCCTGGAAAGTCTTGGAATACTCTATTCTCTCCTGGAAATAAAAAATAAGGGAGAGGGAGCAGAACATTAAAAAATATGTCATTTTCACAATCACCCACAACATAAAATTGTAGTGGAGCACCAACAGTAGCAAACACAGCCCTATCTTTCTACATATTTTAATTCAAATGTTTCTGAACTCCTAAGTGTTAATTCATAAGCTTGTAAATAGTTACAGGGCCATGGGGCAGACACAAGGATGGATCTGAACTGCCACCTAGCCCTGAAGTTAAAGGAACAGATCCTCAGTCCACTGCATTACAACATTTCACCATTTACCTATTGAACAGGTTTCAATTTCTCATAACTCATGTACACTTTCAAACTACTCTGACCTCCCAACACCCATCTGGGCAGTTATTTGCTGTGTACCTTTGTTGCATGCAAGTCAGCAGTTTCCAGGAAAAGCTGCCGACTCAATTCTTCCAGGGCATCCACTTCTTGCTGGATAAGGGACAGATCTGGCAAACCAACATAGTCAAGGCTAGAACACATCATGAATTAACAACTAAGAAAACATTCCCCATCTTCAGCTCAAGGGCCACATCTAATGGTTTAGTCCCTTCTTAGATCCAGACCAGCTTTGTAATTCAGTCTTCATGGTCCTCATTAAAACAGCAAGAAAGAAATCTGAAGGATGAACCTGATGCACACTACTCCAGTTTAAGGAGGTAGGCAGGACACAGTATTCAGGCAGTCATGCACCAACCTCTTTGCCTGGGAAACACATCACAGAATAGAACCAGAGCTCTCAAAAACTGCTGCTCCACTTTGATCAGTGTCCCTTGCCACTGAAGTGCATCTCACAATATGTCATCTCAGATCATCTTCATAAACAAAACTGCTGAGTAACTGCTGCAAGAGATTAGTGATTCCTATGAATAGTCTGTCAAACAGCCAAATTCTGATTTTAGCAGCTAGTGTGAAAGGAGAGGAAGAAGAGTCCTCAGCCTCAAATATGCAAAATGCACTTCAAGTGGTCTGACAGAAATCACTGGTAAGCAACTCTGTTAGAGAAGTACAGATCCTTGTCATTCCCAAGAGATTCCTTCTACAGGGAACTGGATGATCTTTAAGGTCCCCTCTAACCCAAATCATTCTATGAATCTGTGGTAAGTGTGCACATCAAGTGTCCCCTGATCTGCTGTACACCTCACACATGGTGATGCAACAGAACATTTATAGAGCAAGGCAGAAACATAAAACTTCTGCCTGTGTCACAGTAAAACTATGCCCAAGGCCTGGGCAAAAGGTCAGACAGTGCCAGAGAACAAACTTCCTAGGAGACACTAGGCTTGAAATGTGCTGAAACACAAATGCTTTGTGACTGTCCCAGCTAACACTCTACCTCTCAAAACAAAGAAAGCTGGATCCACCTCCCAAGGCAGGTGCCAGCATGCAGATGAAGGATACTTTCACTGCCAGGAACAGATGTTGTAACACTTTTTATCATTCCCCAGAAGCCAGTGGGTCTGTTATGCACTTCTCCTCTCTGGAACATTGTCCTGTGAGCCACTGCTATCCTGAAAGAACAGAAAACACAAGTCCTTAGGAATACAATATTTTTATGAAAAATCAAAACAAGAAAAAAAGAAAAAAAAAATCCACCAGTTTCTTAGAAGTTGTTAAACTAAATTCACCAAAAATAGATGACCCTTTTTTCTTCCCCTAAGCACCAATCCCACTACATAAAATTATCCTGATTAGGTCTGGAGTAGAGCCCAGATCTAATCAAGTGAGATTCAGTGAGACACTTCCCAAGCCTTCCATTCAGGATCCTGTTTCAACCCTCAAGGGATTTAAACCCAGTTAAACATTCAGAATTCAAAGGGATTTCTCAGCCATATGATTAGTTGCTTTCCTTTCCTCAAACACATGACTGTGTTATCTCCAGCTCAGGAATTAGAAGACTTCTGATGCTCTTCCCTCCCCTTGGACACCTCTCCTTTATCACGGCACATCCGCCTTTTCCATGGAGCTATGAGCTCTGGATGGTGTGCAGAGCACTCTCTGGTATGCTGTCACTCACTGCTGGGCTGCATGACAAGCTGCTATGAAGCAGAAACACACAAATCCATTCTTGGACTGAACCACTGGATGCTTCAGGCGAACTGAACGTGACTCCTGAAGTTAATTCCAACACTCCAGCAGCAGCTGTGTATCGTCCCTCACACTTCCATGTGCACCACAGCATAATCCCCACGAGCAGTGTTGGCTTCTGGTCTCCTTCCCTCACATTTCTCCCCACTGAAATTTGTGAGCAAGTTATCCATTCCTAAGCTGAAAACTATTCACTGGATTCTCAGGATGATGCATGATTCTGCGGTGTTTAGTCCCTTTCTTGTAGCTGCAGCCAGCATTGCTACATTTGGCACTGAGCCCTCTTCAAGGATGTTGGTAAGTAGTGCAATAAAAAAAAATTTAAAAATCGTTCCATCATTCCTTTGACATCAGCAAAAGAAACACCCTTGGGGCACCCTACATACAGATAAAGGCACATATGGCCACAGACTACAAATAACAGAGATCTTAGAATCCTGACAGCTGCCAAATATAAGAAATGCATTTTTAATCCTTGCTTTCTTCACAGTACACAGATTCACAATGGGCCATCCCAAATGATCCACAGCATTGCAGCAAAAATGCAGCAACGTCCAGGGGAAACACCTTATAGATACACAAAGGCAAATCTTCTCTTTTTAGAGGTGGCAGGGATCTCTGTATCCACACAGCAGCCAGGAGTTCTGGATATCTCACAGAACGGATCCACGGGCAAACCCCAAACACTCTGCGTGTAGATTGGTAATGACGGTGTGTGGTATTTGCATGTCACATCAGCTGATCTGACTCTAACATGACACAAATGAAGCAATGCCATCAGAATGCTGGCATTTCAAAGCTGAGGATTAGTTATGTCACACCTGCAAGAACAAGTATAAAGAATCTGACAGCCTTAGAGGTGAGTTTTCATAAGGCTTTACTTGATGGTGCTCAGGAAGAAGAGAAAAGTGATTCCTGTGCAAAAACCATCAGGGCAAACAACTTTCACCAGCTATCTGCTGCTGACTAGAAAGCCAGCATGAATAAGGGCTGGCATGAGAAGAAATGCCAGGATCAGCAAAGAAAACAAAAAGCTTTATGTTCTATTGACTTACAGCTCTTGTGCTCACTGATAAGTTCTGAGCTATCAGTAGTACTGAGAAGGTGGCCAGCACATCACTGACAATTGATGGAACTGCAGCATTTCCCCTGAGCTGGAAAATACTGCTATTCCCACTTGTTCTGCCAATTACTTGGTTGCATTTGGACTGATACATGTTTAACCTTTTAAATTTGGCTTTACATGAGCAGATAGTCCAATCATGCAAGCCCACTGCTCCCTGTCAAAGCAAAAAAAAAGAACAAGAATCTACAGAACTCAAGCTTCTGCTACTTCTTGCACAGTTCTGAGATTACTTAGTTTTGCACATTGTTTTGGGTTTTTTGTTGGGTTTTTTAAAACATATACATGAGTTTCATTATATTTCCCGAGTGATTAATACATGGCTCTTCATAGCGGTTGGGAAGTTGCCATATTCAGAAGATTTCCTGGTCATAGAAAGGCATGAATGTGCTAGTTAGTTACAAGCCTCTGGCATCCTGACTTTTACCCCAACATCACTCTCCCTGAACCAGAGGTCCAAAAACACGGTACAAAACGAAAGAGCAGAGTCAGAAACAGCACTACACAGTATCTTTTAACTGTGGCATTCTTTTAGAGTGCTTCCAGTCAATTAAATCAATTAAACCTCAGTAATTAAATTCTCTCACTACTTACCATCTCACACATGACCACAGAGTTAACAGTTGCTCACCACTTAACATTTTCAAAGGGGAAGGACGTTATGCTTTAACTACACTTCCATCAGCTAATACTCATCAGCAGATACACATGGTGATAAATTTGGCAAAGTTCTATCTAAGCTCCCCTGCACATGTTAAAAGTTCCATTGAAACTTTAAGGCACCAAAAATAAAGTTTGGGAGACTGTTGTGTCAGACAGTCAAACCTTTGAAGTAAGTCCAGTAACTGGATTTATTCTGCACTACTAGCAAGACGTGAAATATGTAATACTGATATGAAATATGCAAACAAAAATCTTTCCAGTGTAAATCAAATTACATGGTTTCTGAAAGTAGGTGGGTTTTTTTAGCTTGGGGGACATGAAATAAGCTAAACCAATGCCAGCAGAGTTCTGATGGCACACTGATGTACTACAGTATATCCACATTAGCAATGTTTTGCAATTCTGCAAAACTTAACCAACATGAACCTTGCTGTTTGCAAGAATACAGCTGTGTCCACACCAGCTCACTACCCTGCTTCAGCTTTGACCAGGATCCACCATATGTACAAACCACGTTCTGTCCTGAAACCACGAGTAAGAGCCAGCTGTAGTGGCCTAAGGGTCCCTGACTCAGCAGGAGAGAAAGGTGCCCACCCTACAGGTAAGGTATTCTGCCAGCAGAGAGTTACAAATGGTCTTGGAAGCCTAATTTGTGCCACTGCAGCCACCAAGGGCACTGCTTAGTGTTAAAAACAGCCATGCACCAGGCCAGAACAAAACACCACACAGCTCAACCCAATTCAGATTTCAAGAACCATCTTATACCGCTTCAAGAACCATCTTATACCACACTGACTGTAAATCCTTGAGATAAATAATTTCGTGCTACTGTTGTCCTCTCACCTTTTTTTCTTGCTAACAATCATGTCCATAGTCTGAAGGAGTCGTCGCTCCAGAGCCAGAATATCTGCATCTGTCACATTCCTGCAAAATAAAGACCCCAGTTAGGCCTGTTACCCCATTTCAGAGGAGATGTGCACATGCCTATGAGGCAAAGAAAAGCCTGTATAAGGGGAATATGCAGAGCAATGGAAATGGTTTTAGCATGCAGACATGACAACAGCTAGATTCAGAAAAAAAGTAACAAAAAAACTTCAAACAATGCCACAGGAAAAGTGAAAAATAATCTCAAAAAGCTGGACAAGTATTTCACAAGGCTGAAGTTACCTGAGAAAGTAGGACATGTAAGTGTATGGACAGTTGACAGCCCCAAATCCTGACAGCAAAGCCATGAGTGTCACCCCAATCACACCAACACGGCTGATGAGCTGTTCTATAGACAGGATTCCTGAGGGAGGGAAAAACATGGCATCAGCAACCTTGCTCTCTTCACTCTGCTCCGCACTCGGTGCCTTCCTAACATAACATAGAGCTGCTTAATTAATCTGACTGCCTTCCCACTGCAATGACCCCAGGTAACAGGAAGGACAGACAGGGACTAGGAGAAGAAAGGGGTAGGAAGTCTCCCTCAGAAATCACATTACTCTGCTTAGAAACAGAGATGGGGAACTCCAGCTATGAAGAAACTTAAGGCAGACATATGGATACGTGGAGAGGACTAAATATCAATATTTTGGTTCCAAACTAATAAAACATGTTTGTCATTTGCTGAGGTGAGAACCCAGATCTTCCACCAGGCACTTATAAAGGAGTGTCTTCCAGAAAGGTACTTCTGCAATTATCACCAAACCAGCTGGTCCTGGCAAACTGGCCTAAAAAAGTCTGAACCCCCATCCCATTAGAAACGGCCCCTCCAGATCAGATACAAGCTGTGCTTGTAGGACAGTGGGGTTGGGAAGCTTAAGCTGCTCCTGACTGTTCAATGCTCATCTGGTTGACACCAACATGTTGTTGAGGTGACCACCAACAAGGTCTTCTACCTGAGCACCAAGGGGACTCTAAAACATGTAATTCAACATGAACATCAAGCCTGTGCTGTAACCATCACCAAGCATTGAAGCTGCATTTATTCTTAATCACAGACCTCAACCTGCCTTTCCAGGACACAGTGTCATGTGTAGTAAACACCAGTCACTTTTTAGGGAGCTGGTTATAGAGCAGCTGCCACACACAGCACATTTAGAGCTTACACGACTGCAAAGCTGAGATGGCTGAGCGCCAAACCACATTTCATGCTTCAGAGAAGTGGAATGAATGATGAAAACAAGGCAAAAAGACTTCACAAAGGGAAACTGAGACACCCAGTCATGTGCAGCTGCACAGAGATTTACAGGAGCTACAGAATGTGCTACAATACACTGGCCTTTTGCCCCACGCACTGTCAGACTGCAGCACTTCAAAGAGAGGTGCCTTCAAAATGACATGACATTCCACTGGTTGGAGCAATGCTTCCCCATGAAACTCACACATAAAATGAATGAATGTTCCATCAACTCAAACAGAGGTAGGAGCTTTATTAGAATACTGGTGTGTCATTAAGCATAACCTTCCATAACAAGCTCCCAACCTCAGGTTTGTTAGATAAGCTGCAGTCCAAGGGAGCCCTTGCTCAATGGTGCACTTCTCAGCTGCAGGACACTGCCGTCCCCATCCCCACGTGCCTGAATTGGGTCACCACTCCCTGACGAAACCCACAGCAACCTTGTCTGTGCATGCAGGACAGCAGCACCCCAACAACACAGCAGGGAACAAACATGTGCAATCCTTTGCTCTAACCTCATGTCTACATCTGGTAGGATGAGGCACTGTAGGACTCTTAAGTGGAGGTATCACACCCTGTAAAGCACTCTACTACCCATTCTGGAAATCTGCAGGTGTTATGCAGCCTCCTAAAACCTTTTGGTGACCCTAAAGAGGATTACCCAAACCCTATGGCTAAGTTTCCACTGGATTGTTACATTCTGCCAACTCAAGCACCTTCTGCAGCTCATAGTGAATACAATTTTTTCTTGGCAATGGAACACTGGGCAGAGGGATCTGCCCTATGCATCAGCAACTGGATTTCTGAGGTAAATGACAATTGCAAAACACAGACACACATTTCTCTTAGGAAACTTTTAGGATCACAGATGAAAGGGTGAGCACACCCTACACCAGTTGGTATCCTTCAACTTCTCATATGAGTACAGAGTCAAGCAGCTTCCCACAGAACAGAAGGACTAAGATGAGCATTTTGTACGCAGACAGACATTCACCAATTTCCATCAAACTGACTGAATTTCACCTATTGGGAACAATATCCAAACAATCTTCCAGTGCAGGGGAAACAGAAGGGCAATATAAGATACACAGGTAACTCCATTGACAAACAGTCTGGTTCTAACAGCATTACAATCCTGCACAGCCAGGCACATGCCAACTCTGTTGGACCCAAACTAGCCCAAGTGCACACAGTATTTTCACACTGAAAATACTCATGACCACAACAGAGACACCCAAGCTAATTCTGTACACAAACAGCTCTGGCATCCAGCAGGATTTACCAATCCACACTCCAGTTCCATGCAATTGCACAGCCTCTGGGCTCAGGCACAGCAGGAATCTGTACCAAAACCAGCACAACTGCCAGGCCCCTTGCTGGCTACAGTCTGCAGCTCTGGAGTTTAGGCACACTGCTGTGTTTTGGACACAACTGGACAGCCATTCATGCTAAACTCATCTGATTTCAGCCACAAGAAAGAAAAACTTGACTGAAAAAACATCAGATTAAGGATTGGTTGTTGATCTTCTTCTTCTTCTTCTTCTTCTTCTTAAATAAACTAGGTTTAGTCTCCACAATAGAAAGAAGTAGGTAAATAAAAATTGTGATCAACTTTTTGTGCAGATAAAGTTTCTGTGTCCTCAAAAGTACATCATGTCCTTACATAGTCTAGGTTCAGTTAGAACTTACTTCCTTCAAGTTTTGCTGTGGTACTGAAAGAAAACTAATGAAAATAATCCAGATGTATCCAGCCATTTCTGTCAGTCTGACAACCTTCACATTGCAGATTTCAAAGCAGAGCAGACTCTCAGTTTCAGGAACTGCTTTCTACAGTGCCAGCTGCAGAGCTGAGATAATAAAAGCTCCAAAATAAAAGTGAAATAACAAAGTCTATTTGCAGAAGGGAAGAAATCAGCAAGAAAATGAAACTCACCGTGTTTTGGGCTGAGGATAGGAAATGGATCTCCCAGCTTCCAGAAGAAATACATGAATGTCAACCACACAACACATGCAAAAAGTAGTTTCTGTCTGTGCACTAATAGAGAGGAGAAAGGGAGTGTTTAAAATAGGCTCTTCCTTTAGGGCTTTTTATAGCTTTCAACATTTCTACATTGATCTAAATGCTACTTTGAGAACTGGTGGCCAAAGCAAGTGTCACCTGACAGAGCTACAGCTTGCAGTGTGCACCCCTTCACCTCCCACAAGGCTCCCCTGTCCACATGGGACCATTTCACTGCTTCTCTCTTGTGTCATCTTGAATGTGAATCTTAAATATTTCATCTTTGTGGCAAAACTACACATTTAATATTCCCAACCTACATGCCTAAGCTTCACACAAAAGAGTGATGTCTAGAGTGTCCATGAGCCCATGGAAGAGGCCTCATCCAGACAGCAGAAACAAAACCAGCAAAAGTAATTTACTGAGCTTTTCTGCTTCAGAAGTGATTTATTGAGCTTCTCTGCCTCATTTCTTTTGCCCCCTAGCAGAAAAACACAGCCCTGCCAAGGGTTGCAGAGTTTGTCTGCAAGCTTAAAATTGCAAAGGAACAAATCCCAGTAATATTACTCCGAAGTGCTCAACTTTCTGTTGAAACCCATGAAGAAAAGCAGCATTTGCTGGGGTCATGTAAAGCATTTCCTGACTGTTCAATGCATGGTTCATGATAAAGCATAAAGTTCAAAAGAGAAGGTATTTAGCCAGAACAAAACCAGGGCAAGGAGGGAGGTACAAGGACAGTAACCAAAATTATTTCTAATTTGCATTACTAGGCTCAAATTAGCAGCTCCCCTGCCACAAACCAAGTACTCACATAATCTGATATTGCTCACAACAAAGTAACCAATGTAGAAGGGCACCATGAAGACCAGGATGAGCAAAATGACACACAGGTTCAGCTTCCAATGAAAATATCGAGAGCTGAAATAAAGACAAAATACTGACTAACACAACATCATAATACAACAAATTTCTCAAAGAAAATTGCATGTCAGTGAAATCTTTTCAACTACATCAAGCAATGAATATAATTGGCTTAGCATATAGAATAATCTGGATTTTTTTTTTATTAGGGTAGAAGAGAGGGAGTTGTATGGTTTGGGGTTTTGTATGGTTTTATTTTTAAATACAGAGGTCAAGAATGTCTATTTAAAACTAAATAATTGTCCAGAAAACCACACTGGGTATTTTATCAAATACTGTATTTTTATGGTGACTAATGCCAGTTGCAGCATGATTCATGTGACTGACTGCTCATCCAGTTGAACAGTAAATTAAAACTAATTATAAGCAGTAATTAATTTTCTAATGAACAGCTGAGTCAAAAAAAGAGCTAATTCATACTGAAAAGACTAAAAATATTCAAAGTTGATAAATCAGCATGTTTCACTTCAGAGTGGATTCTCATCTGCAAGACTTTGCAAAGCAAGATTTTATAAATACATATATAGATCAATATGATGAATACTCCTCTGACCAAGTTAGAGTAGTGAAATGCAGGTGAGATTCATCTTGGCTGAACTGAACTTTCAATTTACTTGAACAGGAAAATACATGTCCCCATTCCCAACACTAACTCATATCCTTTTTATCCTCAGGGAAGATGAAATTACAAGGATCCTTGTCACTTTTTCCTAACTAATTCAGAAGCAAACATTTTCCTTCTATATAGACTTCTATACTGAAGTCTAGCCCTTTATTGAAGCTTATAAAAGCATTCTCCTCAGTGATCTCTCTGGCTTCCAGCCCCATGCATTAATAACACACAGAACTAACATTACCTTTCATCAGTTCTGTACTTCTTGCCTTTCAACCCCTGTGACTACTCTCTTATATTTGAGATGAGATATAATAAGAAGAAATCCAATTTAGCCTCTACCTGTTATTGTTCTATCTTCTCTTTCCTACTGACTTCCAAAGATGACAGTTTTTAACATCACCTTTATGTAAAAGTCTTCATCCTATTGTTGAGGAGGGATTCACCTTTGATTCACAAATCCTGTATTGTTACAGACATAGCTTGCACTCCACAATTAGCTTCACATCTTATTCACTCCTCTGACCACCAAAGAAAAACCAGTGCTTAAGCATTCTGTACTCTTTAGCATCTGAAAAGTGCTCTTAGCATGATCTGAAGAGTTACAATACTTCCATAAAAGAAATAATTTCTTTTAACTTCACAAATGGAGAACATCAAAGGCAAAAGCCTTGCCCTAAGGACCTAGACCAATTGTTAATAGCAATTGCATGGAAATTGGAAGCTTATGGCTACTAGTCCCACGTTCTGTCAAATAAATAAATGTTACTGCACAAACATCTTCATTGAGCTGCTGACAGTTTTCTCCTGTGATTTCCCCAATCCAAGACTAATCCATTAATTTAGAAGTTAGACTGAAGATGCTGCAGAGCACAAGGCAGGCCAGTCCTCAGTGGGCTCCCAGACTCACCTGCTGTTCAACACTCCCAAAATCTCAAAGATGATGAGCTCAAACATGGTACAAGAGAAGGCAAAAGTCACAGAGAAGATCACCTGGACCACATACTGTCGCACCTGCAATGCAGAGAACAACCCAGAGACATCAGGCACTTACATTTCTGGAATGGCATCCTGATATCCTCAGATGACAAAACAAATTCCAAGGTATGATGGCCCACAACTGGGTCTCTTGCTTAAAGGCACCAAGCCCTTTATCTGCTTAGGAGGAAGGCAAAAGCCTCTTGGAAAACAGAGGGCAAACTCATACACTAAGAGAGATCTTTCACATTAACCTTAGTTTTAAAAATAAAATCCGCATCAGAAAAACTGCTGGGGTTGAATTTGGCTTGCACCTAAACCATGTCTGACCTAGACTACAATCTCATACTCCACTATGGATAAGAGAATGGTGTTTTAGCCTGTCCAATCCTCACAACCAATTCAGCTGCAATTGACATATCTCACTAGGTTTAAAGTTAACCACTGGATTTGATTTTGTCTCAAAAATTTCACCTTATATAAGGTGAGCTTACCCACCTTTAAAAGGCAAAACAGCTCCCTCAGTTTCCTTTTACCCCTGCATCTCCTCCATATTTCTTTTTATTTAACAGTAGCCAGTATGGAAACTTTCAGTGGCCACAGAAGAACCCATTTACTCAGATATCTAGGAGTCTTTCAAACAGAAGCACAAAAGGAAATTAAAGAGAAAGTAACTGCAGATAAGATAAAAGGTATTAAAGAGAGGAGTAAGGCTAAATGCAGTTTTAAAAATATTTCTATAATTAGGAGTATTTAAGATACAGACTGGTAATGAAAGGTTTCTTCTCACCTCATAATCCTTGAAGAGCTTTCGCATGAAGAAGAGCCACCCAAATCCAAAGAACAGCACCTGCAGAAGAGACAAGGCACTCAACATTTGCATCCTGCAACTTCCAGACATAAACCCACTGCACTGCTGAGTGCAAATTAAACAAATGGAAGGAAAAGAGCTAACCCAAAGCACCCAAGATCCACAAAAGATTAAAATTTGCCACAGTACCATGGAAAAAATAACATTTTAAATATCTAAGTGCAGCAGACACAAAATGCTATGGCCTTAAGGAAGACCTTGTCAAGACAACAGATTTTGGTGTTCCTAAATTCTCAGAATTCCTCAGTTCCTGGCCTACCAGAATCCTTTGCACTCTTGATTCTTGTTTCACTCTTGTAATCTACAGAATTACAGCCTATGGGTTTTTTTACAGGAAATACAGAAATGGAGGCTAAGCAAACACCTGAGTGTCCACTAGCTACACATCTTCTAGGGATGAGTGAATTCTATAAAAACAATATAAAAAATTCTGCTGTTTCCTGTAGACTAGAAGTGTGTGTGAATTTTTGTCCCCAAATACAACCTGGAGCTGCAGGAAGCCACATGGACAAGGCAGATGAAGCAGAAAAAGCCAGTAACACTTTGCATTTCAGTGGTCATGAAAGCACATTACAAAATTTGTTAAAGTTTCTTCACCTGCAGAAGGGATCAACTTAGTATCACAGCTATTTTGCAGATGACTTAAATGAAGTAAATACAAATTGAACAAGGTGGCCAAAATTGCAATTACCTGTCTTCAGAAAGTAAAAGGGGACTGTGGTGTCAAGCCTCCCATGGGTAGTCCCATCTATTCCTCATAAGACAGAAAGGGAGTGTAATGATTTACAAAAACCCAAGCAAAAAGAGAATTCAGGAAATACTCAGTGTTTTTTACAGAAGTAGCATTGTCCGAGGCAAAGACAAAATTCAGTGTATGTCAGACATCACGGAATAAAGTCAGTGTGTCTCCTTAGAGCACATAGAAAAGGCCAGAGCTTTCTGCCCACCCTGCCGTGGAGATGAGAAACATTCAAAGACAAAGGAATTATTGTGGATTACTTCCCTGCACATCAGGAGTAACCACAGTGGCAAAGGTAACACACTGACATGATTTACAGACAAGGAATACCTGGAATGCTGGGCAAGAAGATCAAACACAGCTGCCTTGAAAGAACAACTGAAATAGGAATGAGGTCGAATGAGTGCTTTGTAACAGCTGGAAAAACTTGTTTGGGAAGGACTTCAGACTTTAAAGTAGCTGCTAGCAAAAAGGAAAGATATTCCATAAGCCTCCTATCTCGGGGTCATAAGCTAAATAAGTATGATAAGCAAATGAGATCTACATCAAGGAATTCCACATTTAACAGTGGGAAGGAGGAAAAAGGTAGAGACAAACTCTTCAAAAAGAAGTAAAAGATGAAGAGATGAGTAGGTACAATAATAACCAAAAACTAAGCAAGATTAGACTCCCCTTGTGTTAGGGACTGTACAAAAGCAAAGAAAGACATTTTGGTAAAAGTTCACACTCTAAGACACTGCAGGTGAACGTGACATGTAAACTCAGTAAAATCTTGAGCATTTGACAATTACATGCGGCGACCTGAACATCTAACTTGGTACTGTTGAAGGTAATGAGAGACTTCAAAGCTGCCATCAGAAGTGAAAGAAAAGCTATTAGACAAGTTAGAGCCCAGAACTCAAAGCAAAAAAAGTGTGTTTTTGTTCTGGGTGAATTGTTAAAAGTACCAAAGCTATGCTCTAACCCTAACCCGAACCCTCACCTTCAAGCCACCAAGAGTGAAGACCAAGAGTGAAAAAGTATTATCAAATGGGAAGGAATTATCTTAGAAGAACAATTAACACTGTTCTTCTAGGAAACATCCAAAAGCTGTCCTGAAAATTCTCAGGAATTAGGGTTGTGCACTGCAATCTATCTAAGACAACCACGTGCTGCTGAGAGGGGAAAGGTTCCTTTCCCTCAGCTCATCCCTCATCATTACAGAGCAAAACTTTCACACCAGCTCAGCAGCTCACATCAGCTCCCTCTGTGATCCACTTAAACGCATTTCCACCTGCTCCAACCGCCTGGGACCAGCCTTGTCGAGAAACACCAGCAACAAACCAAGCGCTCGGTAGAGACCCGCAAGACGAACTTCCCTGTCTGTCCCAAGTGGAGAAAGTTAAAATTAAACGCAAGCAGCGCTCGGTTCTCCTGGGCCGGGCCGGGCCCGGCCTCCCCTGAGGGTCCGCGCGCCCCCCGCGCGGAGCGCTGCGCATGCGCGCCCCCAGGCGCCGCCCCCGCGCTTCCCCAGGCACGGACCGGGCGCAGGGAGAGGGAAGGCCGGTGACGGCGGGACCTCCCCGCTCCCTCGCCCTTCTCCCGGCCGGAGGCGCCGCGCCGCAGCGGCGGGGAAGGGGTGCGTACCTGTGAGGTGAACATGATGCTGGAGTCAATGAGGAAGCTCATGGCGGCGCCCAACGCTGCCCGCCCCGCCCGCCGCGCTTCCGGCTCCGGTGGCGGCGGTGCGCAGGCGCGCGGGCGCATGCCCCGGGCTCGGCGCCCCGCCCTCCTCGCGGAGGGGGCGGGGCCACGGCGGGGAAGCTCCGCCCCCCCGCGGGACCGGCCGCGAGGCGGGAACATGGCGGGGGCGGTGTGAGGGGAGCGAGCGGGCACGGCCGCCAACCTGAGCCCTTCCAAACTCAGGTGCCCTCCAAAGCCGCGGGAAGGGCACCCGCTGCTGGCCTGGGGGCAGAAGGGGCTGTGCGAGGCACAAAGAGAAGGGGAGGGTGGACACCGACCTCTGGGGGCATCACGGACCTGTTGCAGCAAGTCCAGAGGAAGCCACCGAGTTAATTGGAGGGATGGAGCACCGCTCCTGTGGCAAAAGGCTGAGCAAATTGGGATTGTTCAGCCTGCAAAAGAGACGGCTTAGGGGTGACCTAATTGCAGCCTTGCAGTGTGTGAAGGGAGCCTGCAAGAAAGATGGGAAGGGGCTTTGTGCAAGAGCGTGGAATGGCAGGACAAGGGGGAATGGATTCAAACTGAAAGAGGGCAGGTTTAGATTAAACATTGCAAAGAAATTCTTTACTGTGAGGCTGGTGAGGCACTGGAACAGGTTTCCCAGAGACGTGGATGCCCATCCCTGGAAGTGTTCAAGGCCAGGTTGGTGGAGCTCTGAACAGCCTGGTCTGGTGCGTGTCCATGGCAGGGGTGTGGAACTGGATGGTCTCTAAGGTCTCTTGAAGACCCAAACAATTCTGTGACTCCTCTGCAGGGCAGCAGAGACACCACAACTGCTCCTGGCTCACCTTCCCCCCTAGGGGACATTGATCTGGAGCCCTCTCCATCCTCCCTCCACTGCAGATGCCTTTCAGGACTTGCCATTGCAATATACCAAGGAATGGGGCCAGAAGGGAAACAAAAGTGCAGACAGGGAATTTCCTGATGGCTATCGGTGTGAGATCCGATCCTTCATGTCACAGTCGTTCCCACTTGACCTTCATGGCGTCTGAATCTTTTTCCTCTTAAATACACACCTTGAGGAAATGGCCTCAAGTGGCACCAGGAGACATTTAGATTCGACATTAGTGGGGAAAAAATCACAGAAAATATTGTAAAACATTGGAACAGACTGCGCAGGGAAGTGGTGGAGTCACCATCCCTGGAAATGTTTGAAAAACATGGATATGGTGCTTGAGGACATGGTTTGATGGTGGTGCTGGGTTGGCAATTGGACTTGATGGTCTTGGAGGCGTTTTCCAACCTTAATGCTTCTGATTCTATGATCTAACCATTGCCACTCAAAACTCTCTGTATTCAGAATAATAAACAAGAAGAGAAGAACCAAGTTGTGAGTTTAACAAAGCACAGAGCCCCTGCTGACTGAAAATCAGGGAACTTTATTCATTGCAACTCATTTCACTAGGAAAAAAAATCTATGTTTGGTTGTGCCGAGACACCAGATTAGTCCCACAGTCTCTGGTTGTTTGGCTTTCTGTCTTGCTCTCAGACTTCTTGGTTTGAAATTTGTCTCCTTGTCTGCAGCATTGCAAAGAGAAGAAAACATTCAGTTTTCATGGAGAAATGAACTGAGGGAGCAGCTTGTTGTATCTGGTCTGAGACCTTTTGTTTTACACCTTCTGGTATCGCTGCCAGTTAATGACGAGCTGAGATCAGGCCTTGCCTGTTCTTTCTTTCTGTATCTGCTACTTAAAAACTGTTATTTCCTAAAGTGATGAGATTCCTGAGTTTGGAGGGATTTGTGGTTGTTTTGTTCTGTGTTGGTAGGTTGTGGGGCAAGGTTAGCTGTTGGTTGCCTTTTAGAGACCAAGGTTAACAGGAAATCCTTTAAAAATAAGTTACAAGGAGCCAAATTCTGATCTTGTTTATGCCTTGGTCACTCAACTTCAGCACGAGGGTAAAAAACAAGGCAGAGTTTGGTCACAGGTCTTAAACTTTCTTCTTTGCATGTGTTTGGAAATAGGCTTGAAACATGCCTCTGCTTAGCTGTAAATTACTGATCCCTGGGCCTTGGGAGAAACACACAGGGAACAAGATAATTCCTACAGGAAAAACCCAGCCCTGCACCCACCTCTCAGCCCCAGGGCTTCTCCTCGAGGGAAGACAAAAAGTGTGAAAAGAAAATGGGAAATTTATTTTGTGCTGTTCCTCCTTAGATAGTCGCTGATGTGCGTGTGTGGGGAGAAGGGTCCATGGCCCTCCACAGGTACAAAGGCAGCTTCTCAGTTGTAGTTATTCTTCCACATATTATAGTGAATGAGGCTATTTTATGTTCAGTTTGTAGAGAGAACCGAAATCAAGCCTTTTAAGTAAAGCAGGAAGGTGCAGCATATTGAATTGAATCATGGGGTTTGGCCAAGAGTATATTTAGAAATCACACAGGTTTCCAGAAGGTGCTACGGGGCATATTTATGACAAATAGCCTTAGCTGGCAGCCAGCCAGCCATTTTCTTTTCTCTTCTCTCCAGAGGTTTTCATAAACAAGAACTCTGGAAGCTGGAAGCATTCCCACATCATTCTGATTTCTGCATTTCTTTTGAGTTCATTTTTGATGAGTTCAGGTGGTGATATTCACTGGCAATTCATGGATTCCTTTTCAGGGTTGTCTGTGACTCTTTTGTGAACTAACACGTATGTGTTGAAAAACTTACCTGAGCATTTTTTTATATAGCTTTTGCACCTTGGAAGCCAATAAATGCCTGGTTTGCTTTCACTGTACCAAGCTGGATCTAGCAAGGCGAAGGCCAGCACTCTTTGTTTTTTTCAAAATGTTCTGTCAGTAGCTCTGTAATCACCATTTCTATTCAGTGCTGCTTCATCCCAGATCAGCAAGCTTTAAAACACACAGGTTTTTGTTGACAGAATGTTAAAATGCAGTCCTCTGCACTTTCAGATGGATTTAAAGGCACACTTGATGCTGAAGTTAAAATATGGAAAGACCTAAGCTGCTATGTTTCCATTATTTTATCTGTTGAAAGCATACTCTCTTTTTTCTTTTCTTTTTTTTTTTTTTTTATTTATAATGCTTTTTCCAAACCAGTTACACAACACGATTCTGGCCTCAAGCAGCTTTGTAGCTACCAAATACCATTTCATAGAATCACAGAATCACAGAATAGTTTGGGTTGGAAGGGACCTTGAAGATCATCCAGTTCCAAACCCCTCCCATGGGCAGAGACACTTTCCATCAGACCAGGCTGCTCAGAGCTCCATCCAGCCAGGCCTTGAACACTTGACCAGCAGCTCTGTGTGTGCATGGGCCTCTGCTGGTGCCTGGGGAGGTGGTCTGGCCTTTGGGACAGCCTGAACCAGCTCTACCAGAGCACCCCGAGAGGCAGGAAGTGCCCTACACGTGTCATTCCTCCACTGCACTGAGCTTTCAGCTTGGGATATCCCATGGGATAGATAGTTCAGGCTAGAAGGCATCACCTGGTCCAACCTCCAGCTCAATACAACCAGATTTGGATGCTCAGTGCTTTCCTTGGCCAAGCTTCATCCCCCAAGGATGAAGATCCCACCATGTCTCTAGACACCTGCTTTAGTGCTGAACCACTCTCCATTTGAACTATTTTTTTCCTTGTCAGAGTTTTTTTTAGTCAAAATTTTCCTTTGCTGCTCATTGTGATTGTTACCTCTGGTCTTTTGCTGCGCACCTCTGTCAAGAGTCTGCCTCCAACATCCCTGGAATTCCTCCCCCTTAGGAACCTGGAGAAAGCGTTTAGGGCTCCCGGTGCCCTCAGCCCCCTCGTCTCCAGGCTGAACAAACCTCCTGTGTCTCTGTACAGCAGGCTGCTGAGAGGAAAGCTTGAATTGTTGACAGATACGTAAGTCTTGCCTCTTCTACTGAAATAGGCTGGTGCCAAGCTAGTGGCAAGGAAAGGATTGTGTGCCAGGCTATGTCTTGGCAAAGCTGACACATATTCACTTGCCATGGTTACTGCTCAGCTGTGTGAGCACATTTGGTGTTGGCAAAAAGCCTTTCCTGAGCCGTGTTAAAAGGTACAGCACACACAGAGCCCAAGGAATGACAATGTCATTCTGTTGGGGGGAAAAAATTATTCCAATACTTCAACAGGTCCCCTGATTTTGGTACATTTATCCAGCCCTGGCCCTCAGGAAATCTGGCACCATATACTGTTTTATCACAGCTGCCTTGGGCTTACAGGAAAGCTTTAGTGTAGTACTCCTGGATGTTCCTGTCTTTACTAAACAAAACTAAGCCTAGGCTAGGATTACTTTTGGTTGTTAGCCTGAAAAGCTGTTTTCTATACAAAACAGCAAACTGCCACTTTTTTTTTTTTTCAGCATTGTGTGACACAGCTGCTTTTTAAATGTAAAACTGCACAGTCAGTGAGTTACTGAGCAGCAGGAGAGATAGGACTTCCCCCATCATTAAGTAGGTTTGATGCCCACACAGACCTAGAGAGCAGAGATCCCCCAAATCTCTCCTCTCCTGCAGGAGGAGGAATCTGCACCTCACTGTGTTTCAGCACTGAGAGGTCGTGGGTGTCAGTCTGAGTTGTTCTGAGTGGTTTTAAACAGAAGCCCAGCAATATTCTGTATGATACAACCCTCTCCCACATGCCTTGCAAGCACCTCAAAACTGTCAGAGCTCCATCAGCCTGAACCAAGTGCTCCAGGAGCTGCCTTATTGAAGCACAAATGCTGCCCCAGAGCGGATGCTGGGCAGGGGACCACATCACCACACTGTCACCACAGCTTCATACATGGCCTTGGCTAAGGTGGGAATCATGGGTGAGGGAATCAATAAAGTCTTTTTAACCCAAGGCAAATCCACATCCATGTTCATGTTGTCAGTGCAGTGCAGTGTTCCCATTTCCAAACTACTGCCCTTCTGGTGGAGGAGTCATATATTACCCAAGTTAGCAGTTCTGCCAAGAAATAACAAGGATACCATGCATTTCAGCAGTGCTTTTCATCAGATCATTCCTACTTACTTTACAAACAGAATTAAGGAAGCCTCACAACATCCCTGTGAGGTAGGTGGA